GAGGTGGGCGCCGAGCCCGCGGCGGAGCCCGTTGCGGAGCCGCAGGCGGACGTCATGCACCGGACCGACAAGGTCCCTGGACCCCCTCGGGCAATGAAGAAAACATGACGGGAGGTTTTTGGCTACCTTCGGCCTCTCGGGGCCCTTCTCGGCCCTCGGGACAGTCAACAAATCAGAACTGGGAAAAACATAAACACCAAGTTTTTTGTTATTGCTTTTACGCAGGAAGGGGGCGTCGTTGACAGGGTGCCTGGCACGGAGGCGGGGATCGGGGTGGCGTCGGCGTGTGGAGCTGGCGGTTTGCGCGGCAAGTGCGTTTAGCTGGCCGCATTTGTTTGGAGTGCGTGACGGGTGGAAATGCCGCTCACCAGCAACTGGCAGTCCTCCGCCCGCGTGCCAGGACAGATCGTCGCGCGCTCGCAACGGGGTGTGGGAAAGGGGGTTGGGAAGAGAGCGCGAGTCTCCTTCCCAAGATGTCCCTTCGATAGGCAGCAACTAGATCTTTTTCTGTTAATATGCCGCACGGCCAACCGAACGAACGAACAACTGTCTCGGCGCGCAGCGTTGGCTTCGCTGTCTCGTGCATCCTGGCTTCCTTTTGTTGCCCTCCTCTTCCTTTTTCCTCTTCCCCTGCTTCGCCTTGTCCCGCCCCCCTTCCTTTCCAGCTCGGAGCTGTCACCGCGCGCGAAAAGCGCAACCCAAAGGGCGTTGCTGCAATTCCTTTGCGTGCCACGAAGTCTTGTGTAATTCCTTTGTGTACGGTGTGGTTACATTGCCATCGCGGGGGGCACGCAAAGGAATTTCCTTTGCGTGCGATCGTTTTCGCCGGCTCCACAAGAGCACGCGATCCCTGTGTGTGGAGCTTGTTTTCCAGCCTCGAGGAGCGCACGGGGCCCGGCGCTACAAGCGCAAGGCCGCGGCGCCTGGCAGTGCGATGCAGCTGCGCTGAATACCACATGCACAACGATCCTATTTGGATTTCGGAACGTATTCAGAAATCGCGCTGGCAGTTGGCCAGCCACATCGCCGGCTCCGCATGCCCGCGCGACGTGTACTGCTGTCAACGGATGAACAAACTGACGTTCGCATGGTGGTTAGGCTGTGCCAAACCACCATGTAACGTTTGTATGTAGCAGAGCTTGGGATCTTCTCGCCGCCGACAGCGCTGCCACACCATACCTTGTCAACTGCATCTTAGAGCAGGGCCGTGCACAGCCTTGGTTTGGATCGCCAGGGATCCAGTGGCATGGGTGCACATGCGTTGCACCGTTGGTGGTGCCAAAACCCTTTGTGTGAAATTCCCTTGTGTGTTTTTCTTGGCTCCCAACAAAACAACTCAAGAAGAAACCGGTCCAAGGGAATGGGTCGAGACCTCCAGGGGTCGACGTGGCGAGAAAATCATGACGTCGGGGGTCTGGGTTCCAGGCCGCCCAGATGGCTTGGCATTGCACGAAACTGTGCATCTGGTTTTTTGTCGAACAAGAAAAGCCCATAAACATAAGCTTTTGGCGCTCCGCGCGGATTTTTTTGATCGGCGCCGGGCCCCCCCTTGCGCCTATACTGTGCAATTATTTGGTTTTCGTGCCCCTCCGACCCCTCCAGTAAGGCCCCGTCAGAGCGAGCAGGGAGGGCATTGCTACACAATACAATGTTTAGGTTTTGTGATCCTCCGACCTCTCCAAAGAGGCCCCGCCAAAGCGAGCAGGATATCTGTACCCGGTATACCATATTAACATATCATGGTGCATGCGAGTCGCCGGGAGAAACGACCAATGATCCCCCCGAACCCCGAACGTTTTTATCCCCACCCTGTAAATATCAGGGGCATGGGGTTCGGACCCCCGGGTGGGGTCCGAGTGGATGGGGTCGGAGGATCGCGCCGTATCGCCGATGCGATGCGGCTCGATGTGGAGTCAGATTTTCTCCACGCCGATGGCGACGATGCGTCGCCGACGTCGGCGTTGCATCGCCAATGCGTCGCCGATGCATCGGCGATGCATTGCCGATGCGGCGCGATCTTCCGACCCCATCTGACCCCATCTTTTCGGACCCCGTGTAGAAGGCCTCTAAAGGTCGAGGTCAGTTCGGGGATGGGACCCTCATTTCCTTTGTGCCGGTTGGAGATTATTGCGCATCCTTGGGAGGGTGCCCTATGACGTTCTCTGCGTGTGTCTCGTGTTCTTGAAGGGTGTTTTTCTGTCCTGGGTCCCGCCGTCGATGGGGTCAACGGATCGCGCCGTATCGCCGATGCATCGCCGATGCGGCTCGATGTGGAGCCCTTCATTCTCCACGTCTGCGTCGCCGGCGCATCGCCGACATCACCGATGCATCGGCAATGCGGCGCGATGCGGAGCCCTACTTTCTCCACGCCAGTGTCGCCGACATCACTGATGCATCGGCGATGCATCGGCACGATCCTCCAACACGATCTACGCGGAACCCGTCTAGAAGGCCTCCGAAGGCGGGCGGCACAGCAGACGACGATGTCATCGAGAATACAAGCGCCCCGAACCCCAATGAAATCGTGAATTCTTGGCCTGACCTGGGTACATGTTTTTTGGGCTATCCCTATACATATGGGTAGCTTCGTCTGCTGCATTTGCAAAGAGACCCCTTATCCTTGATGCCTTGGCCGTGGGGTACTTCTATTGCTTATCAGGTGGTCGAGGTTTCTGGGCAGGTCTGTTGGGTCTCGGCGGTTTACTAGCCTCGGGGTGCGTCCCGACAGCTGCGCCTCGCGGAGGAGGACGAGTTCCAGGGGTGCGCGGATCGTTCCGAGTGCAAACGGGGATCGGCCAGAGCGCCAGATCTTGCAGGATCCTGCAGGGCCAGGGTCGCATTGACCCGGATTTGGATGCAGGATCTTGTGGAGCCTTGCAATATCCCCTGCAAAGCCTGACTGGCCTGGTATTGCATTGACCCGGGTCAGTGAGTCCCCGACCAGAAATCAGGAAAGGCTTCTCCCCCCGGCTGTCAGTGCCAGCGATAGGAGGGGGGGTTGCGTCGGCCCCCCATCGTCCATGCGTCGCCGATAGGGGGCCTGATGGCCTCACTCCGCCCAGGAGCGTGCGGCTTCGCTACCGGGGGCCTGCCGCCAATCAATCGGCGATGTATCGGGGATTCCAGCTCGATGTTTCCCCCCTGGGCCAGTCCCCACTAACATTACCCCTCGGACGAGTCGACGTGATCGACAGGCTCGCCTCGGACGTTGCCCACTTGAGACGTCGTCGTCGTCGTGGTCGGTCCCATGTCCGTCCCTCTTTGGGGTTGGGTTGCCGCCGTTCAGCGTTGCCGCTGGCCAGGCCGACGGTGCGCGGCCGCCCCACCGCTTGCCGAGGCCTGGCCTGTAGGAAGATGTACTTCCCAAAGGAGGCACGATCGAAGACGAAAAGGGCGGGTATCGAGGGTTTGGGAAGTACACGCTGAATGACACTCGAACAGATAAGAGCGAACAGTCTGAAACTGATTGTTGTTGTTGTTGCTGCTGTAGTTGTTGCTGTAATTGTTATTGTTGCTGCTGCTGTTGTTATTGGTATTGTTGTTCTTGGTGTTATTGTTGTTAGTGTTATGATTGGTGTTGCTATTGTTGTTGTTGCTGTTGTTGTTGTCGTTGTTGTTGCTGTTGTTGGTTGCTTGTTGTTTGTTGCCTCTTGTTTGCTTGTGTTATGAGTTGTCGTCGTCCCGCCCGCGACCTGGCCCGCGACCCACGCGCGACACAACCGCGATCCACCCCTCGACCCACCCGCGTCTTACCCGCAACCCACGCGCGACCCACCCCGCGACCCACCCGTGACTCGCCCGCGACCCATCCGCGACGTACAGCGCGACCCGCCCGCGACCCACCCGCGACCCACCCGCGACCCACCAGCGACCCATGGGCAACCCACCCGCGACCCACCCCGCGACCCACCGGCGACCCACCCCGCGCCCGCCCCTTCTTTCTTATCCGCAATTGCGGGGTGCTGCATAGAGGTATTCCAGCATTCCCAGATCCGAATCTTTTTCAGCCGTCTTCTCACTTGAAGGGTCGAGCGGTTTCCCTTTCTCCCTCGTCTTCAGGGGTCGGGCGGAAGCCCAACCTACTTCCAACGCCTTCCTACTGCATGTTCCTACCTACTTCTTCCGACCGACGTTTAGGGTTCAACAGTGGAGATTCATCAGGAGGAAAAGAAACACACAGACACAATTCATCCTCGATTCCCCAGAAAATATGGGAACATATGGGAAGTGGGGGGGAACACAGAAACCCAGAAAATATAGGAAAATATGGGGAATAGTTTTATTTGTGTGTATTTATTTGTGTGTCCTGGGGCCCCTTCAGTTTAGGGTTCAACAGTGGAGATTCAGCAGGTTCGAGCAGGCGCGAGCCAAGTCAGCCCTCCCTCAGTGAGCCCCTGCCCGGGAGGGCACATGAGTGTCAGCGACACGCCGCCGTGGGGCGCCCTCGTCGGCGTGCTGCTCCGCCGTATCTGTCCGAAGGCCTGGTGCTCCCCCACGGCGGCGTGTCGTTGATGCTCAGGAGGGGAAAAAACACACAGACACAATTAATCGTCGATTCCCAGAAAATATTGGAAAATATGGGAAGTGGGGGGAAAGACAGAAACCCAGAAAATATGGGAAAATATGGGGGATATTTTTATTTGTGTGTATTTATTTGTGTGTCCCAGGGCCCCTTCAGTTGATGCTGCTCCCTTCCCCCCAACCCGCTGGCCCACTGAGTCGGCGGCGGAGTCTGAACCCTGCCCTCGCCGAGCAACGCTGCAGGCAACCTGATGGGCGGCGGGGGCAGGGTTCGGAATCAGTCGAACGCGTGGCGAATTCCGAACCCATCCTCCTCCTCCTCTTCCTCCTCCTCCTCCTCCTCTTCCTCCTCCTCCTCCTCCTCCTCCTCCTCCTCCATGGTTGTTTCGGGGTAGGGTTCGGGTGCCGCCACCTGGTGAGATGTGCAGTAGGCGTAGGGCTCACACGTGCGTTTCCACGAGGGGCTGCAGGAGATGCTCAACCTGGCTCGGGGCGTGCTCCGCAGCGGGCGCCTGCCCGGGGCTGTCTGCGAGACGGACAAGGACCTCAACGCCCAGGCCGAGGCTGCGACCCGTCCGCCCCTGGCAACCGCGGGAGGCTCGACGTCCTCCGCCGCGCCGCCGCCGAACCCCGCGGTGGAGGCGCTGCTGTCGGAGCTCGCCGCGTGCGACCCGTCGCAGGCGCAGGAGCCCTCGGAGAAGCAGCGGCTGTGCGAGCGGCTGAGGCGCGACGTGCAGAAGCTCGAGCGCGCGAACGCCAAGAGGAGCCCCCGCGCCGCGCGCACGCGAGGAGGGCGCGCGCGGCGCGCGGCGCGACGGGGGCCCTCTGAGAGGGCGCGCCGGGGCCTCCCCAGGCAGGAGGCGTGAGCCTCCCTGCAGACCGGATGGCGTCCGGGGAAGCCTCTCGCGAGGCCCCTGCTCTGGCCTGGCGTAGGAGTTCGAGTGGAGGATCGACGGAAGAATTGATGTGCCCCGAACTGGTTTTCCCCATCGGGGCTACGACGAATACGTAGAATGCTCGGACATCTAGTGAAGACTGAGCATGTTCCCGCAGATTCGAAGAGACAATTAATTCTAGGGTAAATCAATTCTGTGGTCGATCCCATGCTCGAAGGGTGACCTTTTCGCCGGAGTGACCTTTGGTGTGGGCCCAATCGGGTCCCCCAATCGCTGAGCGCGAAGCGGTAGCAGCGGCTTGCGCGCCTCGGTTTGGCCACCCCGCGTCCCGCATTAAGCCGCGCACCAAAGGTCACTCTTGCCTAGTGTCACTCTTGCGTGTAGCCGACTGCCCCCCCCCCCCCTACCTCAGGTGTTGCTGGAAGTGCCCCTGGCCCACGGTGCCCCCAGGATCTTCAAGGAGGCCCCCATGGCCTCCAGAGCACCCCTCACGATTCCCAGAGTGCCCCAGAGGCTCAAGCATTGAGTGAGAAGCTTGGGGCACCCTGGGCCAGTGACACCCTTAGCAATCCCCGACTACCTGGAATCGAAAACAAACAACTATTTGTTGGCATCGAAGCAAGTGCTCGGAGCGCCGCGCAGATTTCTCGGATCGGCGTTGGGTCCGCTCGGCGGCGATTGCGGCGCCGCCCCTGGCGCGCTCCGCACGCCGTGGAGGGGTGTCCAGCGCAGTTCCAAGAAATCCGCGCTGCGCTCCGGGAAATGGGGTTTATGCAATCTGTTGCTCTTGCTGGAAGGATTGGGCACTGAGAGAACGCCCACCCATACAAGTCTTCTGAGGAAAGATGAACTGGTTCACTCGACATTGGCATTCGAGTGTCCTGGTGCAGACCCCAGTCGGTTTCGCGAATTGATGTGCGTCTCGATGGATACATTCGGTTGTTTCTGGACGTCGGTTAGCTACGCCGCTGGTTTCCACTCAGAGTGCGGTGCCGTGCGCACGTTGAGTGCCGCTGGAGCTTTTACTAAAGCGCGTTTGGCTGAAGGGTGCGCCGTCAATCCTCGAAAGGCCCCTGCCTTTTAGGAGCCCCATCGCCTTCTCTTTGGGGCCTCGAGGTTGGCACCAACACCAGCATCGGCAGAGGCGACGATCGTGGCGAATAGCCCAGAGCAGAGCAATTCATGTATCCAGGGGCGCCGATGGTCCACGTCTTCGGCGAGGCTCCCGATGGGATACAGTGCATCAAGAACTCACTGTGTCTTGTTCCTGACCAGTTGGAGACACTCAGACCTGCAGACTTGCAGGTATGGGGGCGCGCCTACAGACCTGCAGGTCTGCGCGCCCTCCTTTTCTCATGTTCACCATTGTCCTCATCCTCATCCTCACAATCATCATCTTGATCATCGTCATCATCGTTACCGCCATAACCGTTATCAGTGCCATCACCGTCATCATCGTCGTCATTGTCATCGCCATCCTCACCGTCATCATTGGATTTGGCTCATCACCGTCATCATCGTCATCATCACGGCCATTCCGTTCGCGTCGAAGTTGCCTCCTTAATTTCATCCTCATCGGCCCCATCAGCATCCTCACCACCCTCTTTGTCAGCCTCAGTAGTCGAAGGGTTTGCCTCATCACCGTCATCATCGTTATCATCACCATCATCTTCGTTCGCGGCGATACTGTTGCCTCGTCATGGTCATCCTCATCGTCCCCATTGTCATCCTCATTTTCTCCACCATCCAACTATCATCCCTGTCCGCCGGTGAGCGGGGTGTGCCTGGTCGATGTGCTTGGCGTGTTTGGTCGGCGTGCCTCGTGCGCCTGGTCGGAGTGCCTCGTGCGCCTGGTCGGTGTGCCTGGTGTGCCTGGTCGGTGTGCCTGGTGTGCCTGGTCGGTGGGCCTGGCGTATGGTGATAACCAGGCGCAGCAGGCGCACAAGGCATACCGACCAGGCACGCCAGGAACACCGACCACGCATGCCAGGAGCACCGACCAAGCACACTCGTCACGCCACCAGGCACACCAGGCACACTCACCAGGCAGGCACACCAGGCACACCGATCAGGCCTCCAGCGAGCCCTCGAGCCTGGTATTCCTGGAGTAAGGACGACGGCGACGGCTGACAACGACGGACGACGACGACGGCGACGGACGACGGTCGACGGACGACGGTCGACGGTCGACAAACGGTGGACGACGGACGACGGTGATGACGACGACGCCGACGACGGACGACGAGGACGATGACAGACGCTGACGGACGACGACGAAGACAGACGACGACCGACGACGGAGACGGACCTCAACGGTTTCTGACGGACAACGGCGACGAGGGACGACGACGGACGAGGGCGACGCCGACGACGCCGTCGACAGACGACGTCGGACGACGACGACGGACCACGACGGACAACGACGGACGAAGGCGGGCGACGACGGACGACGACGACGGACGACGGACGTCGGCGGACGACGACGTATGACGACGACGACGAGGGTCTCATGTTTTTGAAGGATGTTAATTCTGTCCTAGGTCCAGCCGTATGCTTGGTCGGTGTTCCTTTGCGCCTGGTCGGAGTGTTGTGTGCACCTTCTGCGCCGGCTGCTGTCATGATCCATCACCATCACCATCATCAATTTCGTCATCACCCATCATCCCTTCACCATTATCCATTATCCAACTCACCATCACCATTATTTATCTCACCATCATCCTCCAGCTCACCATCATCATCGTGAGTTGGCCGCCTCCAGCATCATCACGATCATCCTTCACCATCACCACCATCCTTCTCATTATCATTATCATCAATTTCATCATCACCATCATCCATCGCATTTTCATAAGGACCATCATCCATTTCATCATTATGCAGCGTTGAGGACGCTCAGACCTGCAGGAATGCAGGTCTGAGCGACTGTCTGCGAAAGGTCCGATCAGGACAGTGGATTTGGTATCCATCGTACGTGTCAGTCCCGCCCCTGGGCTATTCGTCCTTATCGTCGCCTACGACGGTTGCCTCCGCAGAGAGAAGATGATGCCAGTCTCGCGATGGTGACAATACTGGGCCGATAAACACCATCACAAGAACCTGGGATCATCTTCTCCCCTTTGGAGGCAATCTCCTGTGTTGGTGCCAGTGCCAGTTTTCCAAGCCTCCTGTCCATTCTTCGAAGGCCCCTGCTTTGGGCCAAGGGAGCCCCTTTGCCTTCTCACACACACACACACACACCCAGGGCCAACCCCCGTGATGTCCTACGATGTGATGGTTCAAGGCGCGGCCCCAGAGGTCCCGACCCCTGTCCCCATGGCCAACTGTTCGCCCTAGATCCATCGCTGTCGATGTCGACGATCCTCAAGACGCTGTTAGCAAAAGTGCGTCGTGTTGGAGGGCTTTGGCGGACAAACACGCGCTGGCGCTAACAAACGCTCTCTTGGTATCGCTCGTACTTGTGCACTTTTTCTTGGCGAGGGCCATCGACGAGCATCTTGGACCATTCGCGGAACAACGCAAGTGGTCCAATATGTTCGTCGATGCACGGGAATGGGCGTCCGAGCGATGGCAAGTTCTGAGGATCATCGGTATTGGTGGTCCCGAGGCCTGGGGGAGTTCCGACATCAAGGGAGCTCTCGAGGGCGCGAAGTTACTCGCGCCTCGTGATTCGCGGTTCGGCTCCGATTCCTCCTCATACTCCCCTTCTCCCCTGGCGGGCGGCGCGAAAGCGCGAAGCTATTCGCGCTTCGCGCGGCGCGAGAGCGCGAAGTTAGGCGCCATGGGACATCGAGGATCTTTGCTGGGATGAAACAGTACACGCCGTCGGAGATTTGGGTTCCCAGCGCGCGCCCCCCTGAGGAGGCAGGAGTGCGAGGAGCTCCTCCTCGAGGCGGCCAACCGCGCCGTGCGCCGCTTCGAGGAGCACGACCGGCTGCAGGCCGCCGAGGGCGCCCTGGCCCGCTGCAGGCGCGAGCTGCGCGAGGCCAGGGACATGGTGATGGGCACGAGTCAGGGAAGGAAACAGGTACCAATACCACTGCCCTTCCCTCGCTTTCGCCCGTTGTGTGCCTCCTGGGAGGCCCTCGTCGCCACCGCCGGATTCGCCTCGAGACCTTTGTTGGAGCAGCGGTATCGGTACCTGATGGATTCCCCAAGGAAGGAAAGGAGTCCGAAGGGAAACGGGTCCTGAGTTTTTCGCAGTTTCCGGGCTCTCGGGGCCCGCCCCGGGCCCCGGGGCATGCCAGAAAACGACGCCGGAGGGAGGAGCTGGTCCTTGGCGTCGGCCCCCGGGGTCCCGGAGCCGTTTCCATTCATGCCAAGGTGAAGATCCAGGAGCGGGAGATCAAGGATCAGGAGGGAAAGAAACACACAGACACAATTAATCGTCGATTCCCAGGAAAATATGGGAAAATATGGGAATTGGGGGGGAAGACAAAAACCCAGAAAATATAGAAAATATGGGGGATATTTTTATTTGTGTGTATTTATTTGTGTGTCCCAGGGCCCCTTCAAAGGAGTCCGCAGACGGAGGGAGGGGGCAGCCCCTTCTCGACCCCCCCCCCCGCCACAGGTCGGTGCACGCTCGGAGCCGGTGCGGAGAGAGCGGGGAGCGAGGGCGGGCAGCAGTGCCTGCCCGTTTCGAGCAGGGCTCGGGGATTCAGGAGCGAAAGAAGGACGTACATGTACATGAATCCACGCTGGTTTCGAGAGCACGCATTGCACAAATGTTCGTATCACGCGGCCGGTCTCGCGAATCGAGGGGCCGTGTTCATGTACATAGCTGGGCGCGTACGTCCTTTGTGGGCTCCCTAGGGATCGGTGCCGCCGCGGGCGCTGGCCGCTTGAGCCGGGAGGTTGCCTGCCCAGCAGCGGTGGCTGTCGGTCTGGGGCAACACTTCCTGCAAGTCTCAGGAGGGAAACAAAAACATACAGGCACAATTCATCGTCGACTCCCAGGGAACTATGGGAAGATATGGGGAGTGGGGGGGAAGACAGAAACCCAGAACATATGGGAACATATGGGGGATATTTTTATTTGTGTGTATTTAATTGTGTGTCCCAGGGCCCCCTCAAAGTCAGGAGCCGGGAGCGGGAGAGCAAAAGGTACGCAGAGGGCATCCGTGATCCCAGAACCCTTTGCGTCGTGAACAACAGAAGATTTTTGGCCGGTTTCGGCTTCCGGGGTCCTCCGCCGGACGGGTCCCCAGGGCACTGTCCAGACCTTTTATCAAGGGAGGAAAAACCACCCGGACCGGACAATTCGCGTTTACGCAACGGCCTTGGGCATTTACTAAACATCCCTGCCCTGTTCGATTCCTTCAGGGGGGGCGTTTAGTAAACGGCTTCGCGTGTCGGGGTGGTTATCAGGGGGGTGGATTGTTTGCCCTCTACTTGAGGGGTCCGCGTGGAAAAGTCATGACGTTGGGGGTCTGGGGAGTCCGCAGATCAAGACATCGGCCTGATGACGGCTCGGTCTTGTTTGCTCGCGTGTCATTCCGCATGTAACTCCCAAGCAATCGTCTTCGATCGTACCCTCGTACCCCCTTTGGGGGTATGTCTTGGTGTTGAACTCCCATTTCTAAAGAATCGCAGTGTTGATTCACCTTGCGCGGTGAAGTTGTTTTTGAGGGACAGTGAGGTGTCACCAATTTGGGCCCCAGGCCCCTGGTTTACAACAACAGCTGCTCCGGCGAAATATTTCCGCAGTTTATTTGAGAATTGCGCTCTCGCGCGGGACCTCTCAGGAGGGGAGAAAACACACAGACACAATTAATCGGCGATTCCCAGAAAATATGGGAAAATATGGGGGATATTTTTATTTGTGTGGATTTATTTGTGTGTTCCAGTTCCCCTTCAACCTCACAATTTATCCCGAGTTGCACTCTCGCGTGAGATTTTCTCGCAATTTCTTCAAGCGCCGCTCGCTCGACGCTCAGGAATCACGCTCTCGCCGTGGATTTTTCCTCACGATGTTTTGGGAATTGCGCTATCGCTCGTGACCTCCCAGCGATTCTATGCAGGACGCAAACTTCAGCAACCCGCCTGCTCGACCTGGCCGCCTGGACCCGCCTTCCCGACCCGCCCGTTAGGGCGTACCCGCCCGATCTGCCCGCCTGGTTTTGCCACTTGTGTTCTGATCCTTGCCCCCCCTCCTGCTATTCTCTCTGGTGCTCTATCCTCCTCCCTCCCCCTTGTCCGTTCCTTCCATCCGTCCTCATCTTCCTCTGCCTTAGGGACTGCAAGAAAAACATGTTGCATGTAAGAAAGATATACCCCCAAGTGGCGTAGGATCGAAGGCAAAGAGGGCGGATATCGAGGGTTTGAAATATACGTGTTGAACGGCACGCGAGCAGGTCAGAGCGAACAAGCTTAATTGATTATTGTTGTTGTTACCGTTGTGGTTGTTTTTGTCGTTGTCGTCGTCGTTGTTGCCGTCGTCGTTGTTGGTGGTGGTGTGGAATTGCCATGTGTAAATAATACTTGTTGTTGAGCCCCCCTCCGTTAACCCTTGTAAATTGTTCAAAGTTTAGTGCTTCTCCCGGGAAAGTGAGCGGTCACCGCATGGGTTGTTGGGCTCCGAACTACTACAACAACAACGGCTCCCGCCTGCTACGTCCTCGCAATTTCTACCCGAATCCAGGAGTCGCGCTCTCGCGTAGGACGTCCTTTCAATTGTTTCTGACGCCGCGGCCTCGACAACGCTCTCGCTGTGGATTTCCTCACGATTTTTTCGGGAGTCGCGCTATCGCTCGTGACTTCCTCGCGACTCATGCAGGACGCACGCTTCAGCACCGCGCCTGCCCATTGTTCCTTCCATCTGTCCTCTTTTCCCATGCCTTAGGGGCTGCACGAAATACACGTTGCGGGTAAGAAAGATGTACCCCTAAGGGGGTACGATCGAAGAAGAAGAGGGCGGGTATCGATGGTTCGGGATATACGTGTTGAAAGGCACGCGGGGGGGATAAGGGCGAACAGTCTCAGAATTATGGTTCTTGTTGCTGCTGCTGTTGTTGCTGCTGCTGTTGTTGGTTTTATTGTTGGTGGGGATCTGGTGTGGGCGGAACCCCAATGCTTTTGAGCTGGAGCTTCATATTCACAGGACAACTAGCTGGCGCCGGGGCGACAGTGCCAGGGCGGATATAGGGGGTCGAACAGTAACGACTCCCGCCTGATATTTTTCATCATTGATTCACAATCGCTCTCTCGCGCAGGGCGTCTTCACAGCTTACCCACGAATCGCGCTCTCGCTTGGGCAATCAATTTTACGGGCGCATCCCGTAATTTATTTTTCGGGAAGTAGACTGTGACTGACTGACTGACTTGACAACTGAATCACCAAAGTTGTTCGATGGCAGTTTTACTTCGGGGGTGAGGATACTTCGCTTGCAGTTTTTTTCGGTCCGGGGGTGAGGATATTTAGCTGGCAGTTTTAGGCCAGGGGCGCTGAGGATATTTCGCTGGCAGTTCTGAGGCAGGGGTTGAAGATATTTCGCTGGCAGTTTTTTCAGTCCAGCGGGTGAGGGTATCTAGCTGGCAGTTTTAGGCCGGGGCGGCGAAGATATTTTGTTGGCGGTTTCAAGCGATGGGCGTGAGGATATTTCGTTGGTAGTTTGAAGTCAGGGGGTTGAGGATCTTTCGGTGGCAGTTTTGAGCTAGGGGGTGAGGATATTTCGCTGGCAGTTTTAAGCGAGAGGTGTGAGGATCTTTCGGTGGCAGTTTTAAGGCTAGGGGTTTAGGATATTTCTCTGGCAGTTTTATGCCAGGGGGTGAGGATATCTCGCTGGCAGTTTTATTTGAAAGGTGTGAGGATATTTCGCTGGCAGTTTTAAGTCAGGGGTTTGAGGATATCTCGCTGGCAGTTTTAGGCCAGCGGGTGAGGATATTTCGCTGGTGGTTTGCAGCTTGAAGGGAAGGGTGTGGGGATGCAGCGTTGGGGCTTGCCTTGCCTTGCCCAGCCGAAGGCTACGCATGCAGCGCGGTGCTGCGCCCGAATATGTGCTCGCCTCTTGGCGTGGGGCTGGCGGGGGGCCAAGGGGCGAGCTGTCTGGTGTATGCATCTCGCGTCATCGAGACTACGGAACCACGCTCTTGTTTTGAACTTCATCATTATTCATGTGGGAATCGCGCCATAGCTAAAAACCTGTCGCGAGTCATGCAGAACTGACGCTTCAGTGACCCGCCCGTTCGATCTGGCCGTACCAGCTAAACTACTCTGACGGATTTCTTTGGGCGGCAGAATTGCAAGGGAGTCTCAAGCGACACGGCCGTTCCAGCATCCGTCAGTAGCAGCAAAAGTGATTTGAAGTAACCCCTTGTGATGCTAAACGTTGAAGAGTTCTCAGGCGAAAAGGCCGTTCCGGCATCCACGAGTAGCAGCAACCTGGTTCTGAAGAACCCTTTTGTGGTGTTAGATGGTAAGAGCGTCTCAGGCGAAACGGCTGTTCTGGTATCGTCATTGCAGCAAGATTGCTCTGAAGGATCCCCTTGTGATGCGAAATTGCGACGACGTCTCAGGCGAGAGCGCCCTTCCTGAGGTTCGGGCCCTCTCTGGCCAGGATCTCTCGGAGTAAACTGTGAAGAAGTACCGCCTGGGAGCGTTGTTGTCGTGGGGGGGGCCGTTTAGGCGCATCCCCGAAACGCTTATGTGTGAGCTTTAATTTGCAAGGAATTGCAGCCGGCGCCGAGGCGAGAGCGCCCGCGCGAATCTAAGGGGGCCCAGCAAACAATTAATTGTTTAGGGATTGAGATTGCGAAGGTCTTATGGCTTATGGCCTGTGCCGCCGACCCTGAAGGGAGACGACGACGACAACGGCGGCGGCGACGACGACGACGCTGACGTGGGCCAGAGTCCTCACGGATGCTTCTTGGGGTCTCTTCGGAAGGCTTTCGAGGGCCTCTGGAGACAATTTTTGGCTCCACTGGCTAGCCTCTTGGGCCTCTTGGGAGCCTCTTGGGGGCGTCTTCGGGCTTCTTGGGGACCTCTTGTGGGCCTTTTGGCTTGGGGCCTCTTGGGAACCTCTTGGGGCCTCCCGAGAGCCTCTCAGGGCTGAGGGCTCGAAATTGTCCCCGTTCGGACCCCCGTCTGGGCACACTGTCGGAGCCGTCTTGGGGGCCGTCTTGGAGGCGTTTTTGGGAGCCGTCTTGGCATCCTTTTCGGCTGCTGTAGGGCCCTCTTGGAGGTCTCCAGGGCCGTCTTGGGCCGATTTCGGGGGCCTCGTGCGCCGTCTTGGAGCGGCGGGGAGTGGAAACGGCGAGAATGCTCAAAAATCAACGGAGATCAAGGAATTTAGGTTCTTGGGGCACTCCAGAGTGCTCTTGGAAGCTTCTCGGGGCGTTCTGGAGGCCTCCTGGGCAGTCTGGAGGGCGTGAAGGCGCTTTGGACCGATCGTTTGGCGATTGGCGACCCTCTTGGACCGTCTCTGGTGCCTCTTGGGGCACTCTTGGCCTGTCATAGTCCTTTCTGAGGCCCCACTAGCCCCAGGGGGGCCTGCGTATCTGACCCCCCCTCCTGGGACCCGCCCCAGGACCCCCTCCCCCGCCCAGCCCCCCGCGACCCCCCCCCCGACGGAGGAGGGATCAGAGAGAAGGGGCTCCTCTCCGAGTCGATCACGACATTGCTAGATTTTTATCTCGCTAACAAGCTTGACTTGGAGGGTGCATGGAAAGGGGACGACGGAGACGACGACTGATGGAGTCGACGACTCGAACAGACAAGCCCCTCACACACGCCGACGGGATCGGCGGATTCCACAACGGTTTCAATGTATTGAGGATTCGTGTTTTCGCTAGTGACTTCCTTGCAAGTGATACAGAAATCGTGCTCTCGCCTGAGACTTCCTTACAAGTTATTCACGAATCGCTGCATCGGCGATCTGGAATCGCGCTCTCGCTTTAGAATTCCATTTACTTTACTTAGTCGCCTGAGTTTTTCTGACCATTCCTCTTGCTAATCCCTGTATTCCTCCATCTTCTCCCTCCCTCTTGCCCCCTTCCCTCCCTCCTTCCCTCCCTCCTTTTTTCTTCCACTCCCGTCCTCCCGCTCTCTCCTTTCTCTATTATTCAGGGTCTTCCTGGTCTAAGGGTTTCGCCAAGTACACCTGGCAGAGAGGGACGATAATCATTCCCCCAAAGGGGGCACGATCAAAGACGAAGAGGGCGTGAATGGAGGGCTTGTGGGATACATGTTGAATGACGCGCGAGCATGTGAGACCGAACAGTCTTGAAACAATTGCTCTTGATGTTGTCCTCGCCCGCGACCCGCCCCGCGACCCTCCCCGCGACCCACCCCGCCACCCACGTTGCTCCGCCGAAAACTCGGCGCCTGCGGCGAGCCCGTTGTGCGATGTGCAAATCGGCGCCTGCGGCGGGCCTCTCCAGAGCCTCAACTCTCGGCCGCAGCCGCTGGGGCTATGGCACACCACGCCAGGGCTCAGTGTGGCCTTGGTCGGGCACGGCACTGCTGTGTGCCAGGGCCACCTCCTGCGCGCCAGGAGCTGCGGGAGCTGCGCGCGGCGCTCGAGGTGGAGGCATCGGCGAAGCCGCGCACCCCTCCTGCGCGGCAGCAGGCCGCTGGTGGCGCCGCCGCCACTGGGGGGGGCAGGTCCCGCCACAAGGCGGCGGTGAGCGCCGAGGACCGAAGAAAAAGAAACGGCACACACACACAAACATTCCGTTTCTGACTCACCCACACAAACGCACACGTACACGCAGACGTACACACGCACACACACACGCACACGCACACGCACACGCACATACACATGCACACACAAACACACGCACACACACACGCACAAGCACACGCACACGCACACGCACACACACACACACGCGCGAACGCACACGCACACGCACAGACGCACACACACACACACCACACACACACACACGCACACACACACACACACACACGCACACACGCGCATGCACACACACACACGCACACACCCCACACCACACACACACACACATCCGCACACACATTCACACGCACCCACACACCCACACACACACACGCACACGCACACGCACACACACACACTCACACGCACAAACGCACACCCACACGTACATACCCACGCACACACACACGCACGCGCGCACACACCCACACACACACAGACACGCACACACGCACACACACACACGCACACGCACACACGCATTCGGACACACACACACACACATACTCACACACACACCCACACACTTACACCCACACAGACACACACACACACACACGCACACGCACACGCACACACACAGAACAACGCACGCACACCCCCACACACCCCCCCACACACACACACGCACACACAATCACACACACGCACACACAAACACACATTCACACACGCACACACTCACACCCAGAAACACCCACACACATGCACACACACTCACACGTACACAAACACCTACCCCTACACACGCACGCACGCATACAAGCACATTCAAGCATACACACATTCACACACACTCACCACAGCGCACAGCACAGCACAGCACAGCACAGTACAGCACAGCACAGTACTGCACAGCACAGCACAGCACAGAACAGCACGAACGCACGTACACACACACACACACGCACGCACACTCACACACATCTACACACACGCGCACACACACTCACCTACACACGCACACACGCACGCACGCACGCACACACACACACACACACACACACGCACACAGACACAGACAGACACGCACACACACGCACACACGCACGCACGCACGCACGCACGCACACACACACACACGCACACACGCATTCACACACTCACGCGCACACACAAACACACATACACACGCACACGCACACGCACACACACCCACACCACGTACGCACGCACGCACGCACGCACGGACGCACACACACACACACCAAACACGACACACACACACAACATGCACACAGCATCCACAACACAGCACACACAACACACAACACACACACACACCACAACACACATTACGCCGGTGCCGCCGCGCCTGCAGCTGGACATGCGCCGGCTGCCGCTCAGGCATCTCGAAGGCGCGTTGGCGGGAAAAGGGCACCAGTGGCGGATGATGCTGACGGAGCTGCCGCAAAGCCCCCAAGCCAGCGGCCCAAAGTGCGAGACGACGCGGCGGACTCCCCGGAGCTCCATTGCTTAAGCGGAGTGGCTGCGAGGGTGGCGGCGCGCCAGTTTGAGGATTGTTTCGAGGGGCCGGACGTCGTTGCGCCTGCTCTTTCCTCCTCCTCCTCCTCCTCCTCCTCGTGCAGCCTCGCGGCAGCTGAGCTCCGGCAGGCGGTGTCCGAGACGGGTGAAGCGCCGCCTGTAGCCTTGCAGCGGCGTGAGCGGAAGGAGGTGGATCCGCCACCGAGGGAAAAAAGCAGCGCTGCCCCCCTCTGACACCGCCGCCCGCTGCTACTTCAGTCGAGGGAGGGGGGCGGTGAGCGTGAGGGAGCGTGTTGCTGGACGTGCCCCGGAGCAGCCTCCAGCAGGACTTCCTGTAGACCCCAGCTTCGTGGTGGATAACGCCCACGAGCTGGTCCTGTGCGGCCCATTTGTGCTGTGCAGGCGGTGCGGGGCGTACGTCTCCGCAGTGAGGGGTGCCAGGAGGCTGAAGGACGAGTGCCCGGGCCCCCTCCCGCCTCCCGACAAGTGTAGCTCTGCGGAACGCGAGTGGCGCAGACGCCGCGAGCGGCTCCTGGAGGGTCTCCACCCCACCTCGGGCGCACGCCCGGGGGCGTAGCCTGTGCCTTGGCGCAGGCGCGGGGCCTCTCGGGCCCAGCGGCCCAGCGCCTGCTACGAGTTTTCTGCGGAGAGCTCGAGTGTGAGGCGAAGGTGCCTCAGCTATGCGTTACGAGCCGCCTGAGGGTTCTTGCATGGCTGCGTTAAGGGCCTCCTGGAGGGTGGGTGGACTCCCAGTGCGCAGCGGCTGTGAAGTACAGGCTGTCGCCCGCTGTTCGACGGGGGCGTTGACTATTGGAGAGGCCTGACGGCCGGTGCCGCCGACCCTTTATCGAACGGGCTAGGAGTGGGGGGAGGAAGCGGAGGAGGAGGAGGAGGAGGAGGAGGAGGAGGAGGAGGAGGAGGAGGAGGAGGAGGAGGAGGAGCAGGAGGAAGAGGAGGATGATGAGGAGGAGGAGGAGGAGGAGGAGAAGGAGGAGGAGGAGGAGGAAGAGGAGGAGGAGGAGGAGGAGGAAGTGCATCCTTTGTGTGCCCGCTCGAAGAAAGTGCGCCCCGGGAGTGTGATATTCTGACTTGGGACGTGCTCCCGGAAGAGGAAGAAGTGCATCTCGGGCGTGCCCGCTCGAGGAAAATGCGCCCTAGGGGGGTGGTATTTTGACTCGGGGCCCGCTCCCGGGACGCCTCTGCGGGAGGAGGAGGAGGAGGAGGAAGGAGGAGGAGGAGGAGGAGGAGGAGCAGGAGGAGGAGGAGGAGGAGGAGGAGGAGGAGTGCATCCCGTGGGTGCCCGCTCGAGGAAAAGGCGCCCGGCGGGCGTCGTATCTGCCCCGCCGCCCCCCCCCCCCTTCTCCCCCCCCCCCCTGCGGGGAAGGGATCAAAGGGAAGGGGCTTCCCTTCGACTCCATTACGACGTCGTTTAATTTCGCTTTGGATAGCGCGCTTGAGGAGGAGAGCACTGGGAGGGGGAGAACGGAGACGACGGAAACGACGAGTCGAACGGGGAAGCCCTTCACACACGCCGACAGGGTCGGCGGATTTATTGAGGGCCTCAGTGGTCCGCTGGCGTTGTTGCGGAGTTTCAGGACGTGGCGCGCCAGGGGGATCGACTCACGCACACAGACACAGACACACACACACACACACGCACACACACATAGACGCACACAGACAGACACATACACATTGACACACACGCACACATCCACACATACACAGACACACCCACACGCACACACACAGGCACACACAAACAAACAAACACACACGCGCACACACACAAACACACGCACACGCACACACTCACAGGCACACGCACACACAAACACGCACACAGACACACGTGCACACACAAGCACACACACACGCAGACAGACACACACACACGCACACACACACAATCACACACGCACACATTCACACACATTCTCATACACGCACGCACACACACGCAGACGCACACGCACACACACAGACACACACACAGACACACACACACACACGCACACGCAGACCCAGACACACACAGACACACAGACACGCACATGCACACACATACAGAAACGCACACACGGACACACCCTCACGCACACACTCTCGCACGCACGCAGACGCACACACACTCTCTCTCACACACACGCACACAGGCACACACACAGACAGACACACACACATACACACAGACCGACACACAGTTACACACACACGCACGCTGATACACACAGACACACACAAACGCACACAGACACACACACACACAGACACACACACACACGCACACACACACGCGCGCACGCACGCACACACACACACATACACACACACGCACGCACACAGACACACACAGACACACACACACACACGCACACACACACACATACACATGCGCACGCACGCACACATACATACACACACGCACACATACTCTCTCACACACACACACACACACACACACACACGCGCGCACACGCGCGCACACACATCGGTGACAAGCCCAAAGGGGGACGTGAGAGGGGCAGGCCGCCTGTGAAGGCGGCGGGGCGTCCCAGAGGCCCCGCGATCTCCCGAGACGCCGCCTCCGTCTTGCGCGGAGGCCGGGGACTTTCCGAGCCTTCCGAGGCGGCGCGCCCTTGCCGCATTCCCCCCTTGGGCCAGCGGCCGAGCAGAAAGGTCTGGAGCACGGCGCGGAGTTCCGGCTCCGTGTGGTTATGTAGTTTTTGTTTAGTCCTCCAGAGGATGCGAAGGGCGTGCTGCTCCAGGATCGAGGGCCCCCAAACGCTGCGGCGACCCCGCCGTGTGGTGAGCGAGCGGGGGCTCGGGGTCACCGCGTGGGTTCGGGTCTTGGGTCGTTCTCCGCGGATGTGTCGGGCAATTGGGGCTTTCAAGGTCCCAGAGCCTGAAGACGCCCTTGGCGGAAGAAAGCGCTAGCATTGAGCAATTGTGGTAACCTTTCTTCGATAAGGTTTGTGCCCTTAATCGCAGTACACAGGGCGAGACAAGAAGAAGGAGAAGAAGAAGAAGACGTCGCAACATCAGAATCGTGGTTTGATTGTCATCGTAACCATCATCACACACTAGACGGTGAAGGACTGACAGTTGAGGCGAACAGCATTCTATATTTTGGGGCTTCCATGGTCCCAAAGCCGTGCGGCCTCTTGTGGATTTTGAGTTCACCGCACGGTCTGTCACCGCACAGTCTTGGGTCTCCAACAGGACGGGCTCGGCGAGCCCGACGAGACGAGGATCAAGGCCTGCCTCAACAACGAGAACCAGAAGTTCATCTCCGTCATCCAGAGGGCCAAAGCACGGCACAGGCATGAAGTTTCGGAGCTACGCGCGCAGAATTCTTGGTGCGGCGCTGGGCTCTCGAGCTCCTTCCTCGCACCCCTGGCCGCGCTTGCAGCGCCGCTGACGCATCGACACCGCACCGCCCTCTCATGTCCGATGGTGGCCTGATAGCCCAACGCGCCCAGGGACTTGCGGCCACGTTATCGAGATCCCATCCCCAACCTATCGGCGAGGCGTCGCCCATTCCAGGTCCATGTTCCCCCCCATCCCCCCCCCAACCAGTCCCTCCCTCCTTATCGTTCCCCATCAAGGGGGGTCCAGCGCCTACAGCGGGGACGCGCATCAGAAGCCAGATGCGCTTCGTGAGGGTACCCTGGGTTTCTTCGCGCCGCGCGCTACGCGGTGACTTCTCGCAGTCCTTAAAGAAGCTGCGGCGTTCGGGGCTCCTTGGCTTTCCCCAAAAATCGCACCTCGCGCGCGGATGTTCAGGGCCGCGTTTCTTGCGAGGGTTTTCTGCGGCCGCGACCGCGTTGTAGATCACCGTGTGGGCGCTAAAATCACCAGGCTTCGCGCGTCGCGGCCCGGGCACCAGATGCGTCTTTCCACGGGCGGCGGTTCAAGGGACGGCAAGGGTGGCCGCGCATCCACGGGGCGGGCAGTTCGAAGCTGGGGTGGACCTGGTCAGAGCGCCGACCCAAGACATCTGCGCCGACCTCTGGTGGTCTATGTCTGGCGAGGGGGTCGTCGTCGACCGCGGGACCTCAGAGAGGAGGACCAGGTACCGACGGCGCTGCCTTTCCCTCGTTTTCGCCATTGCTGGGGCTCCAGGAAAGCCCTCGTCGCCACCGCCAGATTCGCCTCCAAATCCTGGTCAGAGCGCACCCCGGGAGTGGTCCAGGGAGTGGCGGTATCGAGACCGCCTGTGCTCTCCAGCCAGACCTGTCCTGGGGTGCATCCCGGCGCGGAGTACTGAGGCGGATCCAGCCGTGGCGACGAGGAGCCCCCGCAGGCCCCGGAATAGCGAGCAACCATGGTGGCCGACCCCGATCCTCGACTCTTCGAGACTCGATCTTGATCCTCGAGACTCGATCCTCGAGACTTGATCCTCGAGACTCGATCTCCTCCCGAATCTTCGAAACTAGATCCTCGAGAGTCCTTTGGCCTTCTGTCGTCGACGCCGTGGGCGAGCTGAGCCGCCAGCTGCACGCGCCGCGGGCCGCGGGCGACGCCGCCCCGAAGGCCCCTGCTGGCGCCGCCGGAGAAGGCTCGGCTCCTGGCGCCGCGGGCCCGAGGCGGCCTCGGGGGCCGCCGCCCGCCGGCGTCGCCGTCGGCGCCGCCGCCCGCCGCCGCCGTGGTCGTGGTCGTGGCTGGACGGTTTCTCCGAAGGGTTTAGGCGACCCGTCTTCCTCCATCTCCTCCTCCTCCTCCTCCTCCTCCCACTCCTCCTCCTCCTCTCCTCCTCCTCCCCCCCCTCCTCCTCCTCCTCCTCCTCCTCCTCTTCCTCCTCCTCCCACTCCCCCTCCTCCTCCTCCTCCTCCTCCTCCTCCTCCTCCTCCTCCTCCTCCTCCTCCTCCTCCTCCTCCCACTCCCCCTCCCCTCATCGGGTCAACTTTTTT